CAGCAGTGAGACAACCATAGTGCGGTGGGGTTCGAGCTCGAAAAGTTCGATTCCAACTGAAAAAGTCAAGTTATCCAATAACAATCTCATTTCGAAACGAAAGTGACGCACTCATTCGAATCAATAATGCCACCAATGTTATGGTTACCTCAGACGTGGGTACCTCAAAGACTACAAGAGACATTTTCGGTTAAAAAATCAGACGGAATTGGGAGACCCATCTGTACAAAATTCCCCATGTCACCATCAGACCTACTAATGAACATCGATATCAGTACATCAATAAGTATTAAGATAAATATGAAAACGAAATCTGGTTCTGAAGGAAAAATCCTTTGCACATCTTGCAGCATACTCCGCCTCTCAGCCTTACACATGGGCTGCGTAAATTATACTGCTAGTGAATTAGCAACCGGGTAATCCGATTCGAGCAATGGATGTTTATCTCATAATCGACCATGCAAGTGGACCAATCAGAATCCATCATTATCCGCATTCTTAGTCTTGGCCATTTCATATGAAAGGGACAAGACAAAACGTGTAGGTTACTGAGGAAGAAGCAATAAACAACCCTCACTTGAAGTTACGAGTCAGATCAAGTTCTGCATCTGGACTCGTGAGAGTAATTGACCAAATACATCATACCGAGTTTCACGCCAGCCTTGCAACGAGCCATAAGACGCTCATCAGCGATGTTAAAACAGCAGCTAAAGGAGTGAGAAAATTTACCAATTACCAAAGCGACGCTATTAAACCCAAAAAAATGTTTCCATATCACCTTAACAGTAATTTCAATAACTTTTGCATTGCCTGAAACTTGATGGATGGTATTTGAAGCTTTTAGCATCTCGGGACAAGGTTTTCCCAGACTGCACTTCTAAGCCTGATGCTGGTCCGTGCAAGTCGTTCAGACCTCACTGGTTTTACAACAGCTTATCGCACACGTGTGAAGAGTTCCTCTACGGCGACTGCTTGGGCAACGGTAACAACTACAAATCTGAAGAGCTGTGCAAGAAGAGCTGCCAATCAGCGAAAGAAGCTAGCACTAAAGGTGGATACTATTTTATATATTTTCATAACGCTTTTCTTAAAACGTAAAAATGATTATTCAATAATGAAGTATTCAAGTGTACAGATATTATTCACGGTTTAATTCCATGATAAATGATTATTTAAAAAATCTTAACTTCATACTTCTGCCGCAGTGCTCCTTCAAAAACATATGCGTGCCATAACGTCTACGTCGAACAGACGTCTCAGCCTCAACTGAGCCATGACTCTACTCCGAGATCATACTTTTGGTCGATAAAACAGTTCATAATCGACCATGTATTAAAGATGAC